TGCGGCCTCGTGGCCGCCCAGTGCTGTCGAGAGATGGCCGCTGCCCGAGCTCGCGCCCCGACGTGCCTCGAGGTCCACAGCACGCCCGCCGACGGACCTTGATTGAAACCCACCCTTCCACTCTGCTTTGCGTCAAAGGCATTTGCTGATCCGGAGGCTGTCGGCTCTGCACCTTGCTTCAGCGTTCCGGTTTGCCCCAATTCATTTTGGATTGCAGACGTGGGCAAGCATGCCGCGCCGTGCATTTGCACTTTGTTTTCAGCGCCGTGCATTTGCACCGCCTTTTGCCAGAAGACACCTGTTTGGTCTCGTTTTCAGACTTTACCGGGGTTTTACTGCCCAAGTCTTTGTGTGTGCTTGTAGCGTTTGCTTGCTTTGTCCATAAAGTTGCGTTTCAGAAGACCGCGATATTCTTTTCTTGGCAGAGGCAAATTGTGATGGCACTGCAGCGTGCCGCAGATTGCCGCAACGGCCTCTTTGCTGTTCCGCTCCATGCAGCAGTCAGAGATCGCACGGAACACGTTCCATCAAAGACAACAGCATTCCAAAAAAGCAAAGATGGATCAAACTGTTTGAGCTCCAGGAAAGAGCGTTCCGTTCCAACGTTGGGTTGCATCTGCAAGCGCCACCAGACCGGTCTTTGCAAATCAGGGAACAGCCGATTCGCGCAAGAGTTTTGAACTGCCAACTCACCACCTTGCCCTAGCAAGTTCACCTAAGGGCGCGGCATGGAAGGAATGCCTTTGGAAACTTTGGGTGCTACGTTCTGTCTTCGTCGCCGGAACGCTCACAGGCCATGCGATCACCAGTGTTCCGATTGACATCAGGGACACACATGCCAGTGTGCGCATGAGACGGCTGACGGCTGGGCTTCAAGTGCAAACTGCTTGCACAAGCCCATACGTTGACCAACCCACACAAGGTGAAAAAGTTTCGAGGAATGGCGATTGGAGCTGGCTAACGAAGATGGACGCGGCACGTCACTCTTGTTTGCCTTGGTTGCAGCAGCTGGCACGGGACGCAAACGTTGGCATCAACGGAGTCTTTTGGAGCAGGCAACATATCTGATCCTGGCGGCCAATGCCTCCCTCCAAATACAAGAGAAGATGTGCGGAGCCAAGCTACACGTGCTTCCCAAGCCACTCCAGGAACATTTTGGAGCAACCATGTTGCATTTTTTGAATTAACAAATAGAATAAAAATAGAGTAATGTTTATTATTTTCATAATTTTGGTAATGCATAAAAATGCTACATGGAAAATGCACCAAAACTGCTTGGGGAAAAAGTGTGGTTCCCAAAATGCTCCAAAATGTTTGGCGCAACCCTGAGGTGAAGGACAACACGAATCAATTGGAATCAATGAACGGGAAGTAATTTGGGGTTGGGTGTCTCACAACCAGGGCTGACACCAGGAGTGCAAATTTGGCAAAAACTTTGGGCGCAATCTGTACTTCCGTTTGGCAGGTCAGACAAGTGGTGGCTGGTAGCTGTAGCCACTAGTGCGTCGCCATCCTCTTGACATAACCGAGCCAGGGGCATCTTTACATATGACCAGACCAGACCATAAAAAATGTAGCATTCCCAAATTTGCATGTTTGAAGTTTAAGGTGCATTATGTTATATATGCGCTCAAACTAGATTGTTTTTCATAATGCTACGCTACCAAAGGATCTTGGTGCTGAGGTTCCTGACTCTTCCAACTTCTTGCCTCTGCGCCAAGTTGCAAGGTGAGGAATTCAACAGCTGCAAAAAAATCAACAGCTGCATGGACGGAAGTGCTGGGACCATGCCCAAAGAAAAGCAAGGTTTTGAAGAATTGTGTGAAGAAGGCGGTTGACATTCATGCTCTTTTCCACGACGGGCAACCAAAACCGATAAAACTTAGTTTTGACATCTTTGTAATGCAAAGACTGCAAAGTTGGCCCGGCAATAATTTGCTAAACGGGTCCACCTGCCCGGGCCCCAGTAATTTGGACCATTTCTGGTCGCACGGCCGGTGCAACCCGCAACATTGAAGGATTGCAGAGCGCACCAGTGCACAAAAGAGCAGTGCAGGCAAGGCAAGCAAAAAAACCAAACAAGAAATACATTTGCTCGCGCAGCCAAGGCAGAAGCGGGCCTCCCGGGGTGGAAATGGGCTTCGCCTGGGCCTGAAGGGACAGCAGCAGGTTTCCCGGGACAGCCTTGACTAAAAGCACCAAAGAAGCTCCGGAACTCGTTTCTTGCCGTTCATGGATTACAGTTTTAATTTGCTCGTTTGTTTGCATTGCGTACGTCCATTTGTTTTTTGCAAAAGCTTGGCAAACATGAAAGTTTACTCAAGTAACGCGTTAAGACACACACTTGGCCGACCAATGCATCCTGAAGCAAAGCGCAAAGCAACTACCAAAACAATCTTATAGAAAGTCTGAAAACGAGGTTTGCCCCAGTTTACGCAAGGTTGCGCCTGCCGACCTCCTGGTATGCAGTTCGGGTGTGGCTCTTGTTGCTGGGCTGTAGACCAAAAAGTTGCTTCTTTCCCACTGGCATGGCAAGATAGCATTTTCTTTCATTCGCCCACGCGCACCCGCTTAGCAATGCACCCATGCCCGGCAAATGGTAAGCACGCCCGCCCCCACGAGCACCCACTCAATGCCAGGCAAATGGTAAGGGCGTTTTGGGCCGGGCAGCTAGGCGTGGCTTGTGCGCCTGTCAACAGCCAGCCTGCGCGTTGCTGCTTGAAATGCAAGCGCAGAGAGTTGCGTTTACATGGTTGTTTCGCACGTGGTAGCTGTGCTTGGCGGGCAGTCGTGTTTTGGTTTGTTGTTTGCCGCGTGGCTTGTTGTGTTGTTTGCTTGTGTTCCAACTGCCCCCGGTATTCACCTGCTAGTTGCATCACTCTTCTTATCTTGTTGTTTGATTTGCTTGTTGAACCAGACAGTTCGCGGGCCTTGCATCTACGTCTTTCATTTGTTGAGCATCAGCTCCCTTGCTTCTTCCGCTCTACCGCATTTTGTTTCTCTTTACTTGAGGCGAGCTGTTTGGGTGCGGCCGTGACGTTTTTCTGTTTTGTGTTGTGTGTGCTTTCCTCTTTTTGGGTCGTGCCCTGTTTTGCTTTCTCTTCACCGTCAAGCCGATGCCGCTGACCTGTGTCAGCGCATCTAAGCCGGTGCTCAGGGGCTGAAGCCGAGGGGACAATGGGACAAGTTCCTCAAACTTCTCAAAGGCGTCTGCAACAGTGGAAGACACCTGAGCGATCAACATGCTCGCCCCCCAGAAGCTCTTGGCAGGCAAAAGCGAAGGGGGGTGTAGCCACCAACAAAACAGGGCATGTTTAAGATACTGAGAGATGAATGGGGGAACCGTGAGTATGCGATGTATTGTGCGTCATGTGTGGCAAAAGTCAGCGTCATGTGTGGCAAAAGTCAGCTGTCAGTGGTCTGTAACACTGGCACAGCGGTACGGTCACGGCTGTGACAACAACCAAACACACGCGCCTTGATACTGTAAATTGAATGGCATGAAGTTGGCCGGGACAGTTTTTGTTGAAGTGTTTGGAAAATCCGCCCCACGTCCAATCGATGATTGTGTGCTGCGTTTCCGTCGTTTTCATTTGGGACTGAGACATTGTTTTCTGGGTTGGGAGATGGTGTGGCGGAAAGGGTTTTCTCAAAATGTGGCACCACCTGAAGCTGACGTTGAAAGATTTGGTGATTTTCGGCCATATGAGAAAGTCAACGTGGCACGAGGTCATTGACTTAAATAGTTGATAGCACGACCTTTTGCAGAGACTGTGCTTCCTGACTTTAGAGGTCAGAGTGAACACTGCGTCAAATTTCCACCAATGCAAACCTTCTTTTTCTAAAGGGTCTGTCCGTCAACAACAAATTCTCAGCCGCACCAACAGGGTTTGCCAAGACGACGAGTTGAACTTGTCCTGCGTTTCACACGCTTAGCTCGACTCGGACCAGTCTTGCGTATGAACATGGGAACTGGGGTCCTGCCGGTTGGTTGCGCCCTCATTGCCTTCAAGCATTGTTGCGGAGTGCGTGCAGTCGGATTCGACTTTCTGCCATTAGATTCATAACATTTGCCGGAAGCAGCATATCTTTCCCTTCTCGCCACAGCTATTCGAAGCAACACCCTTGCGGCGTGCGCAGACCGAACACGGACAATTAGAGGAAACACTGCCAATCTAGTTGTTTTGCGCAGGCTGCATTGGATCCCTAGTTTTGCATGTTTGCTTCACTTGGCTGCGTCTCATCTTATTGCCCAATTTGATACGTTTGCCTGGCTCAAACTTGAGACTTCCGCCCCTTCCATTTGGCAGGCTCCACGTTTTAGCCTGCTGCATGATTACACGCATTGGCTTTGTGTTGAGCACTCAATGACAGTTGGCACTTGCAATCCAACCATGTTTGCACAGCTCGTGATAAAATCCTGCTTTGGAGGTGGCGGAATCTAGCACAATGAAGACGGCGCATTGAGTCACGCTTGTGGAATCTTTCAGGGTATTGCACGAGCTGGACGGGGATGATTTGGGGTCGCACAATTGTATAGTTTGAAGCTTGCAATGTTTGCATCTTGCACGCTTTACGCCAGGTAGTCTTATTAGCTGCCCAAGTGCTGTCAGCAGGCTCGGTGGAGCTGAGCTCAGGCAGCTAAGTCACCAGACACAAGCGCGGTGCACGGTTTTCCTGATCAATGGTTTCTAATTGGTAAATTCAATTGCGAAAAGACCTGCTGTCATGGCCCTGCAAAGATGACTTGGTCAACCCATATTTTTGATTGCTACAAGTGATGTTATGTTATGTGCAACAGCACTTTATCCGTTTGCAGCGAGCACATGTCAGCTGCGAAACTTTCTGCACATGCCTGTTGCTGCATTTCGGCTTGAGCGTCATAGTCATCCGAGCGAACTCCCGATCAATTCGTGGTCAGCTTAGCTTTTCATGTTTGCCTGTCTCGCGTTCTAAAGTTCGGAACCATTCGTGGGCATGGCTGCCAACCAGGCATCAGCATGGGCAAGTTGTCCGGGACAGATTCCCTGGAGGACCTGAAGCCTGATCTCCGCGCACAGATGCGTTGGACAGCTCAGTAGTCATTTGTGGATTTGTTTGAAATGCATCACGCAACTGGGAATCTGTTGCAAGCATCCGCACGCAAATGCAACATGTCTGCACTTTTATGTTGTTGCATTTGGGCAGTGATTAATGTCAGCACATATTGCTTCACGCTACATTTTGACGCAGGAGATGACAACCATAATGGTTCGCCGCGTGCCGCCAGACATGACAATGACGATGTTGCTGAACCTTTGCCTCAACACATAGTGGCGATGCATTTGTTGCTTCAAACCTCATTGCCTTCACACGTATCCATCACGAAGTCAGTATCGCCAAGTATCTCTTTTGACTCAGGGCGATCCTGGATGGCTTTGCACCAAACAAGTATGACTTCGTCTACCTTCCCTTTGACCGCAAGAAGGAGCCAGCCCGTGCAGGGGTTTGCAAGGATTGGGTTTGCAGTCGTTTACGGAGCAAGTCAAAGCAGCTAGAGAACAATTGGGGGATTTGCCTGAAGGTAGATCTTCACGACTTTTTTGGCCCCCGCATGTCAGGAGTGCCAGGCTTGTTTGAGACGTCCCGTCACAATCACCTCGCGCCTTTCAGGAAACCAACATCGCCTTGGCCTTTGTCAACTTTGTTGACAGCGAGTCCGCTAGGAGACCCGAGAGTTCTAAGTACGAATTGCAATTGCGCATGCCGAGTGCAGCAAGTCTGCATGTTCCCGAGCAGGGAAACTGGGAACAAGATCAAACTCTCCGCAGATGTTCACGATGCCCTGCAAGGAAAGCATTGGAAGTCTTTGGATCGCGCAGCATTGCCTCGTGTCGGAACGTGCGGGTGAGCTCGGCCAACGTACAGGTGAGCTGTCGCTTGTGGTGCCTGAGGAAGTTGCAGCATCTCGTTTTTGGTCAATGAGGGAGATCCCACATATTTTCAGGCAGCCACATAGTCATCTGAAAGCTGTTGGCAAGACTGAGCTGGTTGCTGACTTTGTTTTGGAACATCTCAGAGCCAGGGCTTTGCAACCAACCTCGCCTACTTCCTGGCACGTTTCGGATTGCACGCGCTCTCGGAGCCCAATGCGCCGCTGATATTCCAGGCCAGCTCTGTCGCGGAGTTGCAGGTTGCAAGTGAATTCATCGCACAAGCTTCTACAGGGCAAGAGGCATTTTGCACTCATTTGGGTTCGCAGTCGGCACTGGGCTGGATGTGTAATGAAATGCTTGGTGGACCTTGGTGGCTTGTTTCAACTGCACACCGGTCTTCCGCTTGCTCTGTTCTTGGTCTCGCATACTGACCTGCTTACCTGCCAAGCCGGACTTACAGCAATTGTTTGTTGCAAACGGACCACCATTTTGCGCGGCCACAATTCTTGCACACCCCTGCACTTGCACCTTGTGAGCGGGCTGACACCGAGTTGGCTCCTTGTCTTGTTATTCTAGCCCACTGGGTACCCAATTGTCAGTCTCGCAGGGCTTTGTGGACACATTCGAACGAAGTGGCTACCCCTTCAGAGGTTTATCTGCAAGGGGGGTCGTCAATTCTAAATGATGTGGAGACGAAACAACTCAGCAGACGCGTTTCCGAGGGCACAGGTCAACCAGCAACCATTGGCAGGGGCTGTTCTGCTGAGCATTGATCACTTATTAGCCAAGCTTTCGCACCGATCTTGGAAATAACAAGCTGCATCAACCTGACTGCACACTGTTCTCACATCATCTCATTCACCAGCACGGCTGGGAAATTTCACGGACACACTCCTCTCTGCAGCACCCGAAGCAGGGATGCCGTAGGAGGCTGGCCGCTGCTGCTGCCTCTCTCTCTCTCTCTCTCTCTCTCTCTCTCTCTCTCTCTGTCTCTCTGTCTCTCTGTCTCTCTGTCTCTCTGCCTCTCTGTCTCTCTGTCTCTCTGTCTCTCTGTCTCTCTGTCTCTCTTTGTTTTCTTTCTTTCCTTCTTTCCTTCTTTCCTTCTTGCCTTCTTTCCTGAGCTGCTCTGCTTGTTGCCTTTGCTAACAACCTGTGGTTGCGAGGACGGGAAAGAAGTCACCATGCAGGAGATTGTGGTGCAGCACGTGACGCCAGAACTGTTGAATGAGGCAAGCGCTTGGCACATTGCAAGTGACTCAGAGCCACAAGATGAACTTGAGCACTCGAAGCTGATGTAAGCGGCAAACATCCAAGACATGAGCTCAGGAGTTGGGCCCGTTGATAACTTCCAAAGAGCTTCTGACATCACTTCTGAATTTGCAGCGAACCTCAAATGCGTTTCAGGCAATGAAGCTCGTTCGAGCAGAGCGGATGGGCGAGCGGCACGGGGATGGCAGTATCCGCCGCGCCAAGTGCTTTCTGTGGAGTCTACGATCGATATGAGTGCGTTGGGCCTGCGTTGGGTGCTAGACTTGCGACTTTTCAGACATGATGCAGTAGGCATGTCATGCTTTCCAGCTGAGGAAGGACTCAGATTCCAGACCGGTTGAGCTGGATACGTCCTTACGTGGCAGTGGGAAGCATGCTGGCAGGCCCGCATGCAGTTGCGACGCTGTGAATTCCCAACACTTTCTTCCAGGATGCGTCAAACCAAGGAGGCTGGGACAAAAGTGGCTCATGTAATCGGTCCGACCGACGACCGCTGAGGAGAGGCTCAAGAAGGGAGCTGGAGTGTCAGGCCTGGCAAAGGAACGGCTGGATGTGACCGATTTCTACCACGTCCCATAGCCCCGCCAGGGGCTTGAATATATCTTGTGCAGGTGGCCCAAAAGTAGCAGAGGTGCAGAAAGTGCCTTGCATGCACTAGACAAATGAATTCAAAATGAGCCTTGACAGATCTGTGAATGGCCAGATGCCGGCGTGTGTGAGAACCTCCAAGGAGCGTGCCCCGAGCAAGCTGAAGCTCTCCAACAATGTATCTGAGCTGAATCCTGCTGCTGTGACCTTTTGTGTGCTTAGCTCATGTATTTGATAGGCAGTGGTTTGTTTACTTCTCCAAGACAGGAGGAAGTGGACCTCGACGGCTTCTCAGTCTACCAGCACACGTCGGGTATGTTGGTCTTTTCTTTGTGAGCTGCCACCTGTATAGGGGGCGCAAACGGAAAGCATCTCGCGTGGTGTTGGTCGCCGCATGGGTTGCTTCCGCTGTTGCAATACAACGTGCTGGCAAATGTCCGCGCACACGCTCATTGGAGTCTTCCATGAGCGGTTCCCTCCAAATCCTCACCTCAAATCTCTTCGAATTGCCATGTTGGCTTATGGCGTTTGTGTGGGTGAGGCTTTTGTTGGGCAATAGATCCATGCAAGTTGGATGAGTTCGCCTTGATGCTCCGGAAAGGTGGTTGACAAGACTTGGGAGAGAGTTTGTTTATTTACTTTTGCGAACACTGCGCGTTTGCAAGCTGCAACAGTCTTTGTTGGTGAAACTGGGAGTGAGTGTCCTTGTCTTGACATGTCACAAAATATTTGATACAAACGTTCCACAACTACCCAGGGGCTGGTCATGTTTTATTGCCATGAACAGCCCTTCCGCATCGATTGATGACCATCAGTATGAACCACAAGCCGCAGGATCATAAAATCAAAGCCGGTGTTGTCCTTCAAACATGCAAGGAAACCACAATGATTCACAATCTAAAACAAGCCGAATCGAAAAGCAAACGGCAAAGCACGCACTCCTGGCAGTTCTTCAATGGCTTATTTCATCTTTGTGCAAGGTATCCTCCAGCGTTTTCTTTCCCGACCACTCGCAAATGCAGTGTATGGTTTCCCAAGTAGGCTCCGCAGTCCTGGCAAGTTGCTTTCCGAAGCGTGATGATAAGGCCCACAAAGCGATACCTAGTTGTACCTTTGAGCTTTTCAGCTGCAAACAGTTGGGCTGAGCTGTCTCTCATAAACATCCCGACACTTTTGCCCGCATGGTGCGACTGTGGCGGGGCAAGCAACTCCAAGTGATGCAGTGCTAGCCTCACGCACTGCGTTCGTTCTTGGTGTGACTGTTGGCCTCTCATTTGCTTGGCATTGTGATGCCTGAGCTTGTTTGACGGGCAATGTTGCGCCAGCATAGATCCCGGTTGAGTCACATGTCCTAGGGTAAGGCCCGTTCAGGCAGACATTTTTGGTCTCAGGCAAGATCAGAAGCATTTGTTTCTCTTTACTTGGAATCTGGATCGCATTGGCAAAGTGAAGCAGATAGGCAAAGGAGGGAAGCATTCCAGATCTTGCCTGTGTGCCATTCTGTTCGATGGCACATGCTTGGTCGCGCTGCGACAGCTCGCAGCATTTTCTCTGCTGCTTTTCCCGTCTTCTGTAAAAGGATTTGGAGTGGCAGAGAGGGATTTGCTGTGGCGTGTCAAGAGGCACAGCCAAGCGGATTCTCTTGAAGAAGCAGGGTGTGCTGTCGTCACACTCTTTGGCTCAGTCTGCAACCTTAACCCTCTTTGTCGGCTTGCGATGTTGGCCGACTATCTTTCCCGTAAATGCCACTGGATTCAGAAAAAAGATGACTGAATGATGATGGAGGCTCAACCATTGCTTGTAAATTGGTAGCCGCAAAGACAGGCGTGTAAATCAACATTATCATCACATGCCTCCAAGATCATGTTCCCCTCTAGAGCATTGTGACAAGCATGTTGCTGTATTCTGGTGCTGGTTCTCTGACGAAGATTTGGGCTTGCGTCCAAGCCATGCATGTTCAGGAGCCGGATGGCTACCGACCTGTTTCTCAGGCATGTCCAAAATTTGATGCAGTGACAACGCCTGGATGGAATGAATCTTTAACGTCGTTTTGGCTGCGGCGATTCTTGCGGGCCATGTACTTTCTTTTTTTCTTCTGGGCAGGGGAGCCAGTCCAAGAGCGATCCTGCCTGGGCCAAGTCCCGTGCGGCTTCGGAGCCTACGGAGCATGAAGTCGGAAAGCAAAAGTCGCCAAGCGCTGCATCTTGCCAGCCGTGACTGCGTGACTGCGTGAAACGCTTGAAATGCGGTCAGAGCAAGAGTCACTGGTAGCGGAAACTGGAAGGAAGAGTGACCAGATTTGATTCGGGAATTGGGTTGCCAGCGAGCTTTGATTGTCTTGCTGAGGTCTCACGACAGTCACACTTCGGCCCCGGCGGCTGCGTGCGCAGCTGCCAGCTTTTTTTTGCATTTGGGAAGGTGCAAGAATTGGGAGGGGCCTGCCGGTGGACTCAGTGAGGATAAGATACCGGACCCAAACCTGGCCATTTGGATGCCAGACTTTGAGGTATCCGCCTGGGTGGCTGATGCTCACTGTGTGGCCAGTCTCTTAGAGGCTCTGCGGGCACAGAGTGGCAAGCGTTTGTGGTGACTCCTTTTGATGGCTGCAAGGCTGCAAGGCTGCAAGGAGCGCCTGGAACGGTGAAGATATGTTCAATGGGGCCAGACCAATGATAGTAATTTAATGCATATTCAACTGATTCCAAAAAGACGACTTGATGGATGTTCCTGAAGCTTGAAGCACTTCGTTATTTTTTGTTTCTCCGAGACATTGGCAGAGGTTCGGACAGCCTGCTCTTTACAGCCGTCATTTGCCACGTATGCCGCGGGCTCAGCCAATGTGCGACCCTGTCGGATGCAGAGCTGGTCTCTTGAAGCTCCAATGTCAAGCGCGAAAGAGAAATCAGGATTCAGGATATCGAGGAACAGTGATCCAACAAACCCCAGGATTTTGTGTTTGCGTGAACCAAATGCCACGCAACACGCTCGCACTGGTCAGGCCGTCCGCTTGGTGTGCGTAGACAAGGCAAGCGGGTCGGGGCACTGAGTTGGTGACTTTGAGCCGACTCAAATCAGCTGGTGGCCGAAGATTGCGCTCTGCGCGACTCCGCAGGATGGAGGAAGAGTTCTGCACAGCTTCCAAGAAGGAGGATTTGATGCAGAGGCTGCAGCTGCCAGCACATGTATCACTGTTTCATGGCAACTATGATCAGTTGGTCAAGGACGAAACTTTGGCATTCCCCCAAATCCTTCTTTCTGATGTGCTCACGTCAAAGACCTGGATTGACCACAAATGCATCCACAAGGAAACCTTTGACACGCGCCTATCATGCCATCACTGCGAATCCGGAGATGCAGAGGCAGTGCCGCCCTGAATTTGAAAAGTGCAGATTAGACTTGCTGTGGACTGGCAGTTTTTTTTTTTCAAGCCCACATTGCTTGGTCGTCCATGGTGCCGTGTGTGCGAAGGTGCAGGTGCTGTTGTCCCAGTCAGCTGGAACTGCAGGCCGGGACTCAGGGTTGAGCCTTCGTCGCAACAGCATGCTGGTGGTGGTGGTGGCGGTGGCGGCCGCAGTGGTGGTGACAGTGATGGATGAAAGATATGCCTTGAATTCCATGGCCATTTGGGCCGCACCTGTGCACTTGAGCAAGAGGTCGTGGAGAGATGAAAGTTGCACACCCAGATTTTTCGGCAGTTTGAGAATGTTGCACGAGAGAGCTGTGACTGTGCGGGCGTCTGAGTGTTCTGCCTGGCTCTGGCTGTGGCATTCTTGCCAACCAGATTTGAAGAGCATAGACCAACTCACAAGCAACTTGCCGCAAGCAACATGTGTTTCAGACGCATTTGCGATTTGCACATTTGAACAGCTTCAACATGGTATGTGCGCTTTGCGCTTGTAAAGACACTTGCAGCACTTCCACGTATGCTGGCTGAAGCATGGGATACGCTAACTGCAGCTTGGAGAAACCAGAGCTACACTTTAGCTCCAATTTATGCCGTGATTGTCCTATCCTAGGCACCAGGATTTCTGGCGCAGAAGACAGGCCCTGGATGTCTTGGTCACATGTGGCTATGAATTTGACACGGAATCTTGTTGCAGAATGTTTGGTCACGTAAATCCCCGTTGAAAGGGTATCCACCAACGGTCTCCAATTGAAACTCATACCCACGTGGACGCTGATACGGCGGATTGAACGTTGCGGATGTATTTCCTGATGCAAAGACTGGAGGAAGTGTACCGGCATTTCTTGCGTTGGTGGCTTCTATGGTTTCTTGGCTGCACGCCAAGCTCACAGCGAGTCATGTCGCATGCCGCATGAAGCAATGCCGTTGCACACTTTACCACTTGAAACACGAATCAGCATATCCCTCCATGGTACAGGCAGATGGACAGGCAGGCAGGAAGACAGACAGGAAATCGGGCGGGGAGCAGGCAGGCAGGCAGGCAGGCGAACAAACGACAGCGCACGCAAGAAAGCAGATGGGCAGGCGTGCATGCAGGTAGGCAGGTAGGCAGTTAGGCAGGTAGGCAGTTAGGCAGGTAGGCAGGTAGGTAGACAGGTAGGCAGGAAGGCAGGCAGGTACAGGTAGGCAGAGAGTAAGGGAGCAGGAAGGCAGGTAGGAAGGTAGGCAGAAAGTCAGGGAGGCAGGAAGGTAGGTAGGCAGGTAGGCAGGCAGGTAGGCAGGCCAGCAGGCCAGCAGGCAAACAGGCAGAAGAAACGCAAACAAACACAGAGACACACAGACACAGAGACACACAGACACAGAGACACACAGGCACACAGACACACAGACACAGAGACACACAGACACGCAGACACAGAGACACACAGACACACAGACACACAGACACGCAGACACACAGACACACAGACACACAGACACACAGACACACAGACACACAGACACACAGACACACAGACACACAGACACAGACACACAGACACAGACACAGACACAGACACACAGACACACAGACACACAGACACACACAGACACAGACACGACACAGAGACACACAGACACACACAGACACAGACAGACACAGAGACACAGACACACACAGACACAGACACAGAGACACAGAGACACACAGACACAGAGACACAGACACACACACAGACACAGAGACACACAGACACAGAGACACACAGACACAGAGACACACAGACACAGAGACACACAGACACAGAGACACACAGACACAGAGACACACAGACACAGAGACACACAGACACAGAGACACACAGACACACAGAGACACACAGACACAGAGACACACAGACACAGAGACACACAGACACAGAGACACACAGACACAGAGACACACAGACAC